CTTGTTCTGTTGTTGGGTTTGGTTGTTTGGGTTTTTTTTAATATTAATTTAACACCTGCTATACTGAAGTGTCAAAAAATTTCTTTGCATACATTGTTCCAGTACTGAAATATATCTACCTTCAAAACACTTTGTCCAGGTTTCACACGGTGATCAGGAAAAGCATTTGTAGATAGAACCTAACATGCAGATCACAGATCAGAACTAGTTTATTCAAAGACAGATGGAAGTAATTCCTAAAAAAACAACAGAGTTCAGGAAGTGTTCAGCTTGAAGACTGTAGTTGCCCTGTAAAAGCAGAGAGCATACTGGATTAGACAGCAATAAAATGATTATTCTTTGACATTCTTTTAGCAGACAGAAGGTGGCAATTTTTTAGATATTTTTTGTGTTAATTTTCTGAGATTTTCCGAAAGCTTTCCTGATATGCTTTTGGTAAAATTTTCACTGAAGAACATAAGGAGTTACCATATTGGATCAGATTTGTGATCCATCTGGTCTGGTAGTCTGTCTACAATAGCAGATAGTACCAGACATGTCAGAAGAAGGTGCAAAAACCACACGGTTGACAGAGGTCGTTTCATGTCTCCATCAGGGCACAGTAAAAGGATTTTTAAAGCTTTAAAATACTTTGCATTAACTGTTATAATTCTGGATACCTTTATTATTGCTGGAAATGGTCAGTCCTTTCACTTCCTTCTAAATCCTTGGTCAGAGTGGCTTCCAGTGTCAGTATGTTTCACCGCCCAACAATACTGGAAACATTATTTTCTTTCTTAATTTTATGTTTGTGACCTTCTATTTTCATTAATTGGTGGTTATATCAGCCAGTGTCTCACTGCACGACGGAATATCTTAGAACACATGGACTCTCTGTCTTCCTTTTCTACTCCAGACATTGCTTTGTGTTCAGTTCTCTCACTCATCCTCTTTTTATCTTTCTAGAGCAGAAGAACCCAATCCTTTCCACTCCTTTTGGTGTGAGACTTTTCCCTGTGTCTGATAATTGTCTCTCTCCTTTGTGGGAGCAGATTGCAGCAGAAGGTCCAATTGACAAAAAATGCAGCATGAGGGAAAGCCAGAAAGGACAGGAAGAGAGGGGCCACCTCAGGGCACAAGGCTTTGGATTGCAGAAGGAGGCTGGATAAGAGGAATAGGACATGAACTCAACTCTGTCCTGCAGAAAGTGGAAGATGGAAATCAAGGTGAGATGTTGAACAGTCTCCAAGAAGAGCTACACAAGTTACTCTAATCTCTATTTCCTTGTCATCTGCTTTCACTGGAAACACTGTGAAACCAACCCAAATGATTTCAAGTATGCAGAACTTTTCCAGCAGTACTGACCAATGATGAAAGGAAAACATTAATATTGTCCCAATAATGACAGAGCCTGAAAACCAAGAGCTTGTGTTTGAGGCTGTTCAGAATGAGCAAGTTCTGAATCTTATTCTTGACTGTGATTGCTGCCGTGTGTTTCTTGAGCTAGTTTCTGACCAGAGGGATACATTCTTGGATTCAGAACTCTTCAATAAATCCCATCATTGAGAGCAAAACATAAAATCTCCAGATTTTACCAACTTCTTTGTATTTCTGCCAGCTCAGACAAACCCTTCCAAGCTGCTGTCACTACCACTGCTCAGCACTCAAGTATTGAAAGTAACTTTAAATAATATCACAAAGCTGTGCATAGAAGAGGTGCCATTGAGAAATCTTTTCTGGAGGCAAATTTGCATGTCTCTCCATTTCTTCTTAAACAAGACTCAAGTGTTCCCTATGGGACTGATTGTTTTCTGGCAGGGAGATGTAGGAAATGTTGCCACTTTTGTTTTCATAAAGAGCTTTTGCAAGTGTAACCAAAGCACTTTGGAAACTTGAATTGAGCAAATAAATTACAAAGCACAGAAGAGAAAGAATTCCATTTTTATGCGTATTTACTCGTTCACAAGTGAAATGACACAAGTAAATGATCCACAAAACATTCATTCAGAGGAAGGACTGTACAATGAATAATGGATACTGGATAGCAGAAACACCGAGGAGGGTTATCTGTAGAATATCTTTTTTTGAGAGTACAATTCTGATTTGTCATTATTTTTAATTATTGGATTTAATGCACACTAGTTAATTAAGATACAAAAGTTCTACTTCAATTTTTGCATACTAACAGTGAGGCTGGTACATCAACATTCTGTTTTTTTGCATTAGACTATGTTGAAAAATCCAGCTTAAACACCTTTGCTGTTGGGTGGCTACTGAGATGTAGCATTCAGCAGGATCCTGAAGGTTATTAACACTGATATAGATAAAATCCATCACAAAGGCTTATAGTATGGCTAGACAGTTGGTTATGAAAGGTGTCAAACCTAAGGATTTCAAAACCTTTTGAAAAAGACAAATCTGCTTCTTAAACAAAATTACAAGTTGAATAAAAATTGTTTGCTTTTATTCTGTTGCACAAATGTTTCAATTTAATAACACCAAAAATATTCTTTATTGATCCTTTGTTTTTCTTCTATTTACTTCTATACTGTTCATTTCAGATGTGAGTTAAAATATTTTTTTAAATGTAATAAATAGGGCATTTGTAGTTGAACTTTACTGATGTAAAATTATAAATGAAGCTCAGTTTTATTATTGTTTTAATAACGGACAAGACTTGTTTTGTCATTGCTAACTGATAGGTTTAATCAGTTATCTGCAATTTAATCAGCACTTTAATGCAGATCTCCTGAAAAACAAAAGTGTGGAGAAACAACATTGAGATAATGTAAAATGTAATGTGCTGGAGGGCTATCACCAACACTACATGCTTATGTCTGTAGGTATTAGAGAGGATCAAATGAAAAGCTTCTCAGTGTGTAAAATGATGCCCAAACACTGCTCACACACAACACATATTTACATGTGACACAGGAGACCTCATTTGGAAAATCATCTACAAGATATCAACACTAGGAAAGCTGCATGATATTAACTTGTGCAATCACAGGGGGTTTGCTTGCTTGTTTTAGTACTTGGCCTTCCTTGTTTAGTTCACAGGCTACCTGCGACCAGCCAAATTCACTATTATTTGAGACTCTGTGTCTTCTTATTAAGTATACAAGATGAGACCTTCATTATGGACTCCTTTTAAACTCTCTCCCAAAATACAAACCGATATTAATTTTTATTAATTCAACAATTTATAAATTAATCTGGGTTTTTTTCCAATGCACTAGTTCTTCCATCCATTAGTGTTCACAATAATTTTAAATCTGTTTTTACGATACCTCTCCAAGTTGACAGACAAAGGGGGATATGTCTGTTTTGCAGATGGTCAACTGAGTCACTGAGTTGAAAGTTTCCTCTCATTTTGGATGCCCCTAAGACTTTATTTAGTGGAGTATTAAACGTTATGTTAAACATTATACCTACAGATATAGTTAACATTATACCCAGAGTTCAGCTTTCACCAGCTTCATTTCACTGCTGTATGCTCTTTGTTTCTCAGGGTTACATTTCAAGGCGTCAGATAGACAGATAAGAAACAGGAAAAACATAACCAGTTTGAAAAATTGAAAATACTACGCAGAAAATGAGTTTTCTTGTTTAAAATAGTTTACCACTCTCACTCTGAACTTCCCCAAATGAAAGAATTTCCACTCAAATGCCTGGAAACAAACTCATGTTGCAGGACATGCTGGACCACTGGAATAATATGGAGAGTTTCCTGCCCTTGCCATAACATACATTTCTTAATATCAGCATTCATGACAGGTTTCTGCAGTCAGGGGATGTTGCTGCAGTGTCAGGGATTTTGTTAGGTGGAAGGTACTGAATACAAAAGGTTAATTTTACTAATTAGTAGATGATAGATTAGGACCATGAATAGCTGCAGAGAACATCAATATGAACATTGAAGAATGTCCCTAGGGCCATTTAATCTAATTCAGGAGTCAGAGTAATAGCTGAAGTAAAGGAAAACCTGGCACCAAAATGAAGCAAAAGTCAATGAAGTAGAGACATTGGAGCCAAGGTCTGATGGGCTGTTTTGGTCCAGAGATTTAGAGTGATTGAACCATAGACAGCAACAGATAATGGACTAGCAAACTGTAAAATATTAAACCAAAATATACTACAGGACAAATCTATGAGGAAATGCCACTAGATTTTGATGAAAAGCTCTTGCATAATTAGGTTACGTAGCATGTTGTATAGATTGCCTCTGGAGCACCATCTTGTCTACCTTCCATCTGTGTTGTTCTATACTGATGGAGTCAAGTTGAATTTTGCTTGTATCAATCTAATCGGTATTGTGCCTTAATTTTGTCTTTCCTGCCATTGATCTTATTGTCTTTGCATCACACAGAACATCTTTTTTCAGGTTGAAGCCCAATGGCATAACAGTGAATGTGCCACTGCAGGGACTTTTATGACTGGCGGAATCTCAAATTTGTCAGATAAAGGATCAAAAATAGCCTCAACTGAGTTACTATTTTGGAAGTGTGGCTCTACTTAAATGAATTCATATTCATTTAAATATTTTAAAAGTACCAATTCAAATAATCCAGTGTAAGGATACGGAAATCAAACATTTTTGTTTACCAAATTATTTCATTGGTTTTTATATAAATGACATTTTTATTCAGGAAAATGCTACTTTTCCAACTATTTCATGAAATCAATATTTTTTAAATATTGACTATGTTTTATAGGTTCCAGATGTGAGGCTATGATTTTTAGTAAGTATTTTTCTGTCCCCTTATGCCTCCATTTTACTTTAGTGACTTTTCCTCCTCCTTGTTAATTTTCCTCTTTTTCTATTTTCTCTGTGCTTGGTTTTTTTGGGGGGACACAAATTATGTATGAATATAAATACATTGAGGGGCAATATTTAGTGTTCTTTAAGTGTGCTGGATTAGAATTAACTCCCCTAGAAACCCGCAAAAAATGTGGGTGACACTTGTGAGAGCAATGTGTGTGAATTGGTGGGAAGAAATGACAACAACAACAGCAAAGAGTTCGAAAGAAATGGTCTATAATTATATGAACCTTATAACTGCAACAGTTTTCCATGTGCTCGTAAAGAGTTATCTATATGACAGTCGGTAATTCCTCATGTTCTTTGGTTGTAGCCAGAGGCGGGTCGGTCTCTTTTCCCAGGGATCTAGAGACAGGACAAGTGGACATAGCCTCATTCTGCACCAGGAAAGGTTCAGGTTGGACATCAGGAGGAATTTTTTCACCGAAAAGGGTTGTTAAACATTGGAATGGGCTGCCCAGGGAGGTAGTGTAGTCACCGTCCCTGGGGGTGCTCAAGAAAGGACTGGACGTGGCACTCGATCATCTCAAAGGTGTTTTCCAAACTCTGCGACTCTGTGAAATGTTATTTAAGGATATCAAGGAGTGCGGTGCCGGGTGTTATGCCCCCCGGTGGATGAGCATCCATACAGCTGAGCACGGTGGCGAAGGGACGCGCTGGCACCGCCGCCGCTCCCGCCCGGCCCCGCTGGACCCGACCCGCCCGCCCGGGCTCCGCCGCGTTCCCGGGTGGTTCTCCGGGAGCTGCAACAGCGCCGAGCAGCGCACGGAGCCTGGGGGCTGACACTCGCTACCGCCTGCACCGCAGGTCATGTCCCGGCACCGATCCTCCGCTAATCCCCTGCTGACACCCGGCGGGAACGCGCGGCGAGCGCCGGCAGGTCCCCGACACCACACCGCGCCCCGGCAGAGCATCCCCCGGCACACCGCCTCCATCCCCACCGCCCCCGACACACCATCCCCTTGACACACCATCCCCCTGACACACCATCCCCCTGACACACCATCCCCCGGCACAGCATCCCCCGGTACATCATCCCCCGGCACACCGCCTCCATCCACGCCGCTCCCTGACACACCATCCCCCGGCACCGCTCCGTTCCACGCAATCTCCCGGCACGCCTTTCCCCCTCCGGCACCACACCGCCCCCATACACCATCCCCCGGCACACCATCCCCACCCACGCCGTCCCCATCCACGCCTTCCTCCCTGCACACCATCCCCAACCACGGCGCTCCCCCGGCACACCATCCCCATATCCCCATCCACGGCGCTCCCCCGGCACACCATCCCCATCCACACCGTGCGGTGCCTCTGTCGGGGGGTCCCGGGGCCGCTGGGGGGGGGTCGGGGAAACCCGGACTGGATTTTTCCGCTGGAGCACGGCATGGAGAAAAACCCGGACTGGATTTTTCCGGAGTATGGAATGGGAGAAAACCAGGACTGGATTTTTCTGGACTACGGAATGGTGGAAAACCCAGACTGGATTTTATGTAGTACGGAATGGTGGGAAAACCCGGACTGGATTTTTCCAGAGTACGGATTTAAAAAAAAAAAAAAAAAAGAAGGGTTGGACTTGATGATCTCAGAGGTCCTTTCCAACCTGGCTGATTCTATGATTTTATGATTATTTGGTTGATTTTCCTATTTTTCATCCATGAGAGAACCTTGAAACTTAGAACTCAAATATTTAGGAAAAGAATCACGTCAGAATCAAGAGCACTACAACTTTTCTGGTCACCTCTACATCAGGAGCCAGTATCTGACTCCACACACAACCTGAACTAATCAAGGCAAGAGACAGGTTAGTTCAGAAACACAGGACTAAACAAAAGGAAAATATTTAATATCTTGCCAGTTGTCAAAGTGCTATGTCTGAGCCAGGAAAAGTGATAGAGCTCAGAGAAGTTGGTCATTGAAAAAGGCTGTGACTCCCCTCACTTAGAGGGATCACATATTAAAAATGCCTAGTTCTCTCTATGGATGTAACGTGGAGCTAAATTAGCTCTGATTATACATTTCTCTATGTAGACATTATGTTCAGTTACAGCAATATTCCTTCTAGTATCCTAAATGGAAACAATTTCAAAGGTTTAGAAAATTAAAGATGTAAGATTCAATAAATTAAATATTATATAATTTAATATTAAACAAAATTAATATGAAATATAAATAATTGTATGGAATATATTAAAATACGGAGAGGGAACACAAGCTCTCAAAACACCAAATTATTTTTCATTACTTGCTGTATTTAGGCAAGACAAAGCTAGGCATAAGAATAATTTTTTCAAGTTCTTAACTGACCTAAAATTTCTTTTTCAAACACAACTTTGGTCTTTCTGAGCCCAGGTTTAAGTGAATGTTAGCAATGCTTATGCTTTGAGAATTCAGGCCCTCACACCATGTAGATTCCAGATGTTTTCAGAGAGAGGAAAGCTCTCCTCTGCTTCGGGGCAGAGGGAAGATCCCTTTCTCCAGGTCTCAGGGAGAAGGCAGATCCCATTCTCCAGGTTTGGGAATGATCTGTCACGTGTGGGTTTACTCTGTGCTGGGAAGGGGAGCATCAAGTTCCCTGAGGTGCTTTGGGCATTGTGGATTAATTCCTAGTGACTTTCTGTTATTGAGACTTCCTCTCTGTTATTAGGAGGATTTGCAAGGTAGAACTTCCCAGTAGCCTTACAATTTCAGCTTTGCTCTAGTAGAATATCCATACCTAGAGAGCAGCAGGCACCAGCAGGAATGACAGGTACAGAGCCTACCTTGTACCAGCGGTGATTTGATGCTCCCATTATCACTGCTGGAAAATGGCTTTTTGGTTTTCAGTCAGATTCCATACAGAGACAAGGCTTGTGCAGCCACACTGTCATCACCACCTTTTTAAACCCTTCAAGTCGTAACAGAGAAATGTCACAGACAGAGTTACATCTTAAAAATCGTGTGTCCCACAGGTTCCCTGAAAACTGGTGAGCAGATAGTTCTTTATTGCTTAGCAGAGCCCAGCTGTTCCTCTTTCTGGTAAATGTGCTAGGCAGCTGAGTGAGGAGCATGCCTAGACTTTAAATCAGACACAGGATATAGTGTATCTTACCTATGTATCATGTAAAACACTCAGAGAATGAACATTACAAGAGAACTACAGGAAGGCATGAAAGCTGAGACGAATGTAGTAGGAGGCTTCAGGCAACACAGGAGGGAGCTACGTGTCTTAGTTGACTTAAGAGAGCACAGGTGAAAAGGGAGTACAGATGGTTTTTGGGTTAAAAAAGAGAACCCTGGGAACATTGCAGCAGTGGTTGTATGGGACAAGAAGAGGAAATCAATACGCTACCACAGAAGATCCATAAAACACAGGGGGAAAAATACTGGAAGAGGGCAGGCTTTCTGTGTCTTGCTACTTACAGAACTACTATCTCGTGGAGATCCCCTGTAACAGAGTATCAGTGGGGCACTTAAAAATACTGTGAGGATACCTGATCAAGCACCAAAGAACAGACTATTAACTGCTGTAAAGTAAATCAGTGGAGCACATCTCAGAGGAGTGGGAGTGTCCTTAGATGCTAAGCATAGAGAGTGCTCACTTGTGTAAATGAAATCTTAATAGATATTTGGTTGCTATGGATTTTATGCAGGTGATCTACATCCTTTTTCATTTTGCTCACATTGCCGACTTTACTGTGACAGTCACTGCAGAAAGAAATGCTGTTCTGCTTGAGAAACATCAGAATGCAAGGGCAGAGTACAAGGGTATCAGTGACCTACAGACTCTTCTGGTAGGAACCCTTTTTTGACTTCCACTTCATCAGAGGCTCAGTGCCTCTTTGCTCTGACCACTAAATGCAGGCAGAGGGGTGCCTTTGAGATGGAGCAGTGGAAGAGAACATGGGTCCTCAGAGGGATTCCTGAAAATGTGTCTCTTGTCTGGGTTTTTGCAAGTGCTGCACCATAAATACCATAATGGTATCTGATGGAGAAACAGGGCTAATTAGTTCATACTGCTTGTGAGACCTGAACTTAGAGAGGCACATGGTATTGCCCTGTGTCATGTAAACACACTGTATGGGACTGAACTGGAGGTCTCAAAGGGCCGCCAAGTTGATCAGATGGATGAAGCATCTCTCCTATGAGGGAAGGCTAAGAGAATTGGGATTGTTCAACCTGGAGAAGAGAAGACTCTGGCATGACCTAATCACAGCCTTCCAGTACTTGAAGAGACCCTACAAGAAAGATGGAGACTATTTACAAGGGTCAGGAGTGACAGAACAAGGGGGAATAGCTTCAGATTGAAAGAGAGTAGGTTTAGATTAGGTATTAGGAAGAAATTCTTTACTGTGAGGGTCATGAGGCACTGATACAGGTTTCCAGAGAAGTTGTGGCTCCCCATCCCTGGAAGTGTTCAAGGCTAGGTTGGATGGGACTTCAAGCAACCTGGTGTAGTGAAAGATGCCCCTTTCCATGGCAGGGGTGACGAAACCAAATGATCTTTAAAGTCTTTTCCAACCCAGACCATTTTATGATTACCATATATCCAGTGCATGGACTTGTTCTAAGACACGTACCAGAATTATCCTTTAGCCTAATAAATAGAACAGCAGAATGACCACCGTCTCTAATGTAGGAAATGCTCCAAAGTTATTTGTAAACAGACTTTTAATTGAGATGCACTGATACAGCCTTGACACTCCATGTATGTGCCTTCTGGTCAGAGCAAACTCAGGGTCTTACAGCAGTACAGGCAAAGAGACCTGGGCTGGGGGAGAGGGAGGTTGTGGCAGAGATGGGTGCTGCAGATTTGTGTTTCCAGCTGCTGGAGGAGAGAGGGGAGATGCAGGGGATGGCAATTGCTGCAGCAGAGAGGGCCCTTTACCTCTGCTGCTGCCACACACCCCTTCTTCCCCTGCAGTGACAAGAGCTACCAGGCTTAGGTAATGTAGCCTTAGGGACATACTTCATGTGCTGTGCCCATCTATCTGTTCCTTAGCAGCTCTCTACTTCGCTCCTGCCAAGATCCAGCTCTGCTTCTCATATATAGAATGAGGATTTTTACAAAGATTGTATTTAGCAAGGTTCCTGGCTTCCTATCCTTGCTATCCCCTGACAGCAAGGCCACAGAGTTCACAAGACACTTTGTACTCCCATAGCAATGGTACAGCAGGATCTGGTAGGGGCAAATCCAGAAGTGTGCTTAAAAAACGTGGTTTTCCATTTAAGACTCTCTCTTTGAAACCCATGGGTGTTGCAGGCTCTTTTTTCTCTCCCAGGTTAGCCCTATACATTCTTCCTTTTCAGACCAGCTATTCCCTTACGTGAAATGGAAAGGCAAAGACATTTAGTGGCAAGAGGGGCAGGTCACAAACTGTACCTGTCAGCAGCTGTCAGGCACTGGTCAATCCAGCACATTGATACCCATCTTCACACACTGGTCATCACCGAACCGCTCAAACAGTATTGCTTGGCTTGTTCTGTTGGTGATGTGCCAGTAAATCCCACATAGCTCATGAGTTCATATGTGGGTAATAGAGTAAGTTGGTACCTGAGGGCTTCCCATTTCATGTTAGTCACAGTCTTGGTAGACTGTGGCTTTTACTGTGTAAGTGGTAGCAGTGAAAGCACAAATTACTTTTTTTTGCCCATCTTTAACATGGGTGCTGATAAAGGGGTACACATGAGCCAGGTTGTGGGGAAAAGAAGAAGAGGGCTTTGCACAGCGATTTTATGTGTTCATAAAGTGCCCTGAAATCTTCAGGGATAAAGCATCACACTCTTCAACCTGAATCAACATAGCACAGAAAGACCTATTTCTTATGAAATACAAATATATTTTCTGCCTGATGAGTAAAACAGAAGATCATAGAATCATAGAATATCCTGAGTTGGAAGGGACCCACAAGGATCAGTCCAACTCCTGGCCCTGAACAGGACAGCCCCAAGAATCACACCACCTGCCCCAGAGTCTGTCCAAATGTTTGTTTGATGTGGCCATGGTTTTTTTACTATTAATATCATGGTTTTTTTACTATTAATATCACAATTAAAGGCAAAAAAGCAGGTTTTGGGTCTGGGCTTGTAACAGTTTGTGATTATTGCTTTTCTCCCAAGGCTGCTTTTGTGAAAGCAAGCCAAAGGCACTGTGACAAGCCTAGAACCGTCTAAGGATACGCCAGTTATTGCTCTGTTGTACCCCAGGATCTGCCGGCGTTTCAAGTCAAACTTCGGGAGACAATCAGGAATCCTAGCCCTATTGGAATGGTTGATGCAACTGTCGGCAGGAGTGTGGAAATCCAGCTTGCAATTGGGAAAGGCGCCGGCGGAGGTCAGTGTCTCACAGAGTCAGGCTCTCCCTGTCCCCGCTGCTTAGACGGCGCCTGTC